TAAGGAATATGTTTTGGTAGCTTATTAAGAGTTACTTTCGTGATTGGTATCTGCTTTGTCCTGATGGCCCCTTTATTTTTTTCTTAGGGTTCAATGCTCTAGGGTTAAAAGGGACCCAGGAGGTCACAGAGTCAGTCTGATACTTTTGTTTGACGTGGGAATAAGCAGACCCCTATTGCTAAGGGTAGTGAGTGCAGAGTAATTCTTAGGTGAGAGGGTAGAGAGGAAATTATTTAGCAAAGTGTCAGTTACTTGATTTTACAAGCACTTATCATGATTTATTAGTCTAATTTGTACAAAGTAGCTAAAGTTCATGGCAAAATTGTTTTTTGAAATTTCATGGTGATTCACTATGTTCTGTATCTTAACTTTTATAATTGTATGTATTTATTTTTTTATTTGGCCAGAAGATTGGAGTGATAAGTCATTAAGTTGTGGTGGCCACTGGGAGCTAAATCAGCTTTTCTTCATTAAAATCCAAGAATTAATATTATATGGCAATCTGTGAAAGATTGTCCTTTACTTCTTTGGGCTTTTACAACTTGTCTTCTTTTAGAAAGGTCCATGACTTTAAAAGACAACACTCATAAAAAAATTAGTTGGTGACTCTTCAAAGTTTGAGAAAAGTCAAATAATAATTACTTAAAAACACAATTAAAAAAATGTTTTTAAAGCTGATGGCTTCTTTACTATATGCTGTTAGGGTGAGAGGGGGTTATGGAATCTAAGACACATTTTCCCAACTTGACTAGAAGCTGCGCAGTGCAGGCCTTCCAAATGCTCCTTTTCATAAACCAGATTGATTATGAGAAGCAATAGGAGTGAGTGAAAAAGCCAGGTGCAAATTTATAGTTTCACAAAGTAGTGTCCTCACACTACCCAGTTTTCTAATAAAGACCAAAAATTCTAGGCAAAAATTCAGATGTTCTTAGAAGTCCTCATGGTTGATATTATGAGAACATCTGAACATTGATTTATTTAGCCATCCAAATGCATCTTTTTGGAATTCTGGTGAGGGAAATGTAACATACTTGGTTAAGGAATGAAATCTTTATCGCACATGTAGTTACTGAATACACACTAGGTTAATCTGGCTTCACGCTTGATGCCTTGTCTCACTATATATAAAAAGTATAATTTGGAACTTTCCCAGGTAAAATTCTTCTTATTCATTTGCCTGTATAACATTCTTATAAGTTCTTATGGTTCTGTAATCATTTGTCATCACATTTTTTTTTTTTGTCTTGGAAAACAGATATTTGTATGGGCTCATATTAAAAAAGTTTCCCTGGAATTATGTTTTAAAACTCATTATGGGAAATGCAGTTTTTTAAGTAACCAAACTATTGCTTTCGTGTATAACCAAAACTATGACTCATTCATTGGCGTTCTTAGAGCTTGCTTAATTAAAAGAGAATTTTCTCATGAAAACATAAATCTCTGTTTAAAAACTATGGCAAGTTTTTTTTTTTTAAGTCAT